GCGGTCGAACTTTTGCTCGAGCAAAAACTCGACTTTGCTGTTCCTTGTTGGCGAGCCCTGCAATCATCTGCCCAGGTATCATGGCGCACGAGTAGTTGACTTGATATTTTGGGACAATCAACTGTGAACGAACAAAATTGTCTTGAGTTCGTAGCCTTGCTAAAAAAGTCAGTGATTGCCTCACCTTCTGCGTGACCTGTGGAATGAAATGTCTGCCAGTGAACTTCTTTGTGCAAGCCCTTTACTGCAACGAATCGGATGTGTGACAAAAGCCTTTCCTCTGTAGCCTAATTTAAGATTTCAGTCCCTATAAGGTCGAAAAGGAGCCTGTTGACTTCCAGCGGGCATATCGTTCTCAATTCGTTGCGTATTTCGACTGGGTTGGTAAGTTTACACATCTCCTTATACCAAGCGTTAAGGAATAATGCCCGGTCGTCATCTGTTGCAATGGCTTCAATGACAGGACGGCCAGGTTTTTCGTGTTGGACATTTGCGTCGCGTTAGGGGTTCCGTCCCTCTGAAATACGATAGTTTCCCTTTGTAGCTCTATCATTTGTTTATGAGTTGAGCAATCAAATCCAGGGGTTCCGCTTGGTGCAGATGCCATGTCTTATTTTGTTAAGATAGTTCCACGTATTCAAAAGATCCTATTCACAGTGCCATATAAAATAACCACGGCGGCAATGGTAGTAGTAATTCTCAATTACTTTATTCTCGTACCAACAAGATACAAATACAAAACATATATCTGGTCCCAGACCACTCAGCTGTTTATATAACACTAGACGAAGCAACTTATGTCTGCCTGTTGAAGTCCCCCATTATCTAATGAGACCTTCTCTTTCTACTCTACACTGGAGAGAGAAAAATAGATGTGTGTGAAAAAGAGGGGCGGTGAGAGAGAAAGAGAAACAAGTTACGGGTGGAAAGAAAAGTGATTGAAAATGATTTACTGAAAAATTTCACTGACCTGATTTCTACACAAAGAAAAGAAGACATTCACAAGAAATGATAAGGAAAAGTTACCACAGCATTTCTCATTATACTTTAAAATGGATACGGAAATGGGGGATACGAAAATAAGTTTACATGCAAACAGACTTTGCTCTAACAGAGTTTTTGGTAGCTTTATTAGTGCGCATACTCGATAACATTTTTCTGTTTCCATTATTTTGGCATGGCCCATATAGTCTGGCTTTACAAATTCACCTCCCATAATATATATATATATATATATATATATATATATATATGTGTGTGTGTGTGTGTGTGTGTGTGGTTGCATGGATAGAAGTTTGTAACTCCGGGTTTCACGCTTTCGTTTGTCTGAAGATCGCGAAAGCGTGAAACCTGAGGTTACAAACTACTATCCATGCAACCGCATATGTTAGCACTATCACCAATATTGAGCACTTTCCACTAAATACTGGGTGTGTATATATATATATATATATATATATATATATATATATATAAAAGAAATATGTTGTAGTGGTTCCAACGAGAGAAAAGTATGTATATTAAAAAGAAGAGAAGAGAGGTGCCGCTAACGTTTTTGGTTGTAATGTGGATTTATTTAGAAAAATTTTTTTTCTTCTCTTCTTTTTAATATATATATATATATATATATATATATATATATATATATATAATCTGTGTGTGTGTGTGTAAAATTTCAGATATCTGTCAAAGGACAATATAAATAAAGGTAAAACTTAGCCAACACGTTTCGTCCTTAGCTGGACTTTATTAAGCCAAAATAAGGATTTTATTTTGCAACAAGTATTTATAAACACCACTTTTGTTTATAAGTACTTGTTGCAAAATAAAATCCTTACATTTGCCTTGATAAAGACCATCAGAGGATGAAACGTGTCGGCTAAAATAAGTTTTCTTTTTGTCTCTCCCTCTCTGTCTCATATATATATATATTATCACAGAGAGGAGGAGGGAGATGGTATAATGTATGATTGATGTATTTCATGTTAGTGACAGAAGTTCAGAATTTCGAATGCTGATTTTCAACATACAATATAATCTTTTTATCTAAATTTTCTTCCTTTTAGTCTTGTCGCATTAGACTAAGATTAGTAATCTCAAAAGTTAAGTTCAGTTTTACAAATGAAAACTATAAATTGATATCCATTATTTACATGCAGACTATTGTCCTCATCTTTGTTGTTATTATCACAACGTTTCGGTCGTTGTACCAACCTGCCTTCATTATGTTTCTCGATCCAGGTAACATTCAGAGAATTTAGAACTGAACCCTATATTTAATCTATGAGGGAAGGCTTCAAGTTCTCTACTGGGGATTGTCTCACGAAACAATAGCGTTAAAGCGTTGGTTCATGAATTTGACAAGATAATAATTGTGAGTTCAATCCCTGGGCTAAGCAGTGTATACTGGGACTCAGTGGAAACGGGGTGAGCAATAACTGAGCAGTACTAAATAAGAACATGGTCAGCGGAAAGAGAACAATCGAACTCTTTAGATTAAATAAAGGGTTCAGTTTGGAGACGTCAGAGAACTGAAGACGTAATCGTCAAATAACGATGAACTCATACTGTCAATGTTGATATATATTTTTCAAAAGGGGCTTATGTGAGTATATTCCAATTTTTATCCATTTCCGCATCCAAATACCGATATCATCCGATCCCTTTTTTGTTGTTTTTTTAAATCTTTTCTAGTTTTTAAAGTGATCATTTTTTCTTTACATTAATTATTAGAACAATATATTGCCACCTAGTGTAACCACTGAAATCAATATAGTTATCTCCCTTACATTATTAAAAGTTGCATGTATAAATACACCTTACGTAAGATGATACCAATCTGTTACCCACTGAGTCGATCTGTTCCTACACTACTTGACCTAGGAATTAAAGTAACGACATCTAGAAAATCAATACTTTTATTCGTTAGGCCATTTTATAAGTTTAATCAGATCATCATCTCTTCTAATTAGAGGACATATTATTGTGCTAATATTTCTACATCTTCTAATGCACTTCCAATCATGTTCGTGTTCACTTTTTTATCACAACTTACATTGAAGCATGTAGATCTCATATGCCTCTTCTGTAGAACCAATAGTAAGAGAGCTCCGATATAATTCGTGTGTATAGAAAACTGCTGTTGTGGACAAAGGTTGGTTGATAGTAGTTAGTTACTTTATGAGGAAGCAGACAGCGTTGATCACTACTTTAAGAGTAGGGAGAGAAAGCAGCTGCTGTCATAGTGAAGATTGACTTTGTTGATGTAATGACCACCAGTGAGCATTAGGCGAAATCAGGTGGTCAGCAAATGACATGAATTTTGTAGAAAAAGAGGCAAAATAATGCCACAAAGAAAGAAATGACAAAATGAACGTGGTGAACTTGGTTTTCACTGAAATAAACGAAAATAGAACTAAAAAGTGTTAACAAACATAATGTATGTATGTATGTATGTCGTGGTCTTGTGTATGTAGAAATGTTCGTACGAATTATTTGTGAGTGGTAATACTTGGAATGCCTGCTCTATTCTTGTTGTTCGTGCAAAAGCTGTATGAAAAGTTTATTTCTCCATTAATGGGGTTGGGACGGTACATTTGAAAGATCTGTCTCTGCATGGAAAAGAAAGAGTTTTGTTACAATTCTCCAAAACGCAAACTTGGCACCACCGACCTTCATTGATTGAACAGCATCATGTGAGTGCCTCCTACAAACTATGCGTGCCTGGAGAAAGGTCGTCTGGTGATACATCACCAGGACACTCCAGTTCGACCTGCAAGTCTAGCCTTCTCACGAACGTGGGGAATTTGTTCCTCGGTGGTACAACACTGCAGTATGCATCAATGTTTTAGGGATTTAAAAAGGTTGAAGGTGGATGCGTGTTTGTATGAAAACAATTAAGAAGCATACAAAAACTTGAGGTTTCTACTGTGGGGTCATCACTTATTTTTATTTATTTATAATAATAATGTCCCTACATTACTATGGACCATTCATTCTCCTTTTTTCCCCCATATAAACTGTACTGAAGCAAAGTTCTTCATGTGTCCTGGGTATGCCCGTTTTCCTTTTGGCCCAGAAGTTAGAGTAAGTATAAGTACGTATTTATGGTCGAGCTCATGTCAACCTTGCGCAGAGTTAAAACAACTAAAGAAAAATCTGTACTTATTTTATCGTTGGGAGGTTTAAATATGTTTGTGTACGTTTTCTTTTTCTTGGATAAGTAAGGATAAGCATTGTTATAAAGGTCGAGCGCAAGTCGGCATTCCGCTGAGTTGGAACAACCAAAGAAAAAAAGCCTGAATTACTTCATAGGTGGAGGATTTGGAAGCCACGCGCAAACGCCATGCATTGTAAAAGTGGAAAGAGACAGTCGTAAGTGGACCGGGGAAACTAACGTACTCCAGCAGCACCGTCCGTTTTCCACATACTACTACATTTTAGAGCAAGGAAGAGCAGCAGGCAAATATTTATCTTTTTACAGACTTAAACAGTGCTGCCTCGCGGAGTTTAAAGAAACCAAGTGGGATAATCATATTTCCTGTTCTTTTACTACTAGCATCACGAGAAAATCTATTTCTTCTTTTTATTCCATTATTATTATTTATCAATTTTATTTCATTTTCCCCACACGGTCAAGCTTCAAAAATTGTCATTAACTTTTTATTTTCTCACATCGACTTCAACTTCGTTGCCCCTACCACCACAAAAAAAGGAAAAGGATGTAAATTGATGTCTGGGTTAAGCTCATTCACATATATTCGATATCACGGTTATATGATTGCCGTTATTAGCTTTTCACTAGTTTTTCCTTTTGTCTTAATTTGGTTGAGTCACATCGCAACTCTCAGATCGTTATTTTATTCTGCGATCGTTAAAAAAGTTATTATGAATCGGAAATTAAAAAATAGCTTTTGACGAGATTTGAACTTCTATCTTTTATCTATTATTTACAATGTATACTATTTGCTTAATGGTTATCGAATGTAAAAATGATCTGGATGGTTCGAGAAAAAGAAGCAAAAATAAGATTTAAAAAAACCTTGTCAAAAATTAATAATGATCATGTTTCTACTAATTCAGACATTCTCTCTCTCTCTCTCTCTCTCTCTCTCTCTCTCTCTCTCTCTCTGATTTTTAGGTCTTTATTTTAAAAAGTTTCTTCCGATGATAGAATACGTAAATGATTCTACAATGACCTATTTCGCAATTGCTGAAAACATGTCTGCTCTTTTCATCAAATTTAATTTTATGTCAGTTCATATCAACAACTGTGAAATCAACAAAACGAATTGTTTCTCTAATTTCCAAATCTAACGAATTACTTTCCTTTTTTTTTTTTTTGATGTTTCCTTTTAAAAATATATTACTAACATCAATTTTTTAAATATTTTATAATTAAGTTCTTCTTTCCTTTCTTAGTCATAGTATTTTCTTTATTGAGCAACTTAACGGAATTTTCAGTTGACAAGAAGACCAGTATAAAACAAAGGCTGGGAAATCGCGTGGGGAAAAAAAGAAATAAAAAAACACGACAGTTTAGTTTAAAATAAAAACTATGCATTATATAAGTAGGTCTAAATCAAAGAAAGACTAAAATCAATTAAAATCCCAAACACTATCTACTAATAATAATGTTCGACTTTCGAATTTTTTTATTAAATCATTCACGTAGTAACAAAGTAATTATGATTAAGATTTATAACTTTCTTCCGTGTTTAACGAATAACCATCATTGATCTTTTTTATACTGCAGGTTTATCGGGGGCAAATTCAATACAACATATAATGCTGTAGACCGCCATGTTGAAAACGGTCTGGGTGATCGAATTGCACTGATTTATGATAGCGCTGTGACTGACACAATTTGCAACATCTCATATGCTGAACTGTTGAACGAGGTGAGTGAATAGACGCTGTAGTAAAAAAAAAAAAAAACACAATTCAGAGATAACAAATTAAATTAAAGACAAATTTACACAATTATTGGAAAACATATCTCTAACTACACACCAATTTTCGTCTAGCTAAGTTACACACACACCGCATTCTACTCAAAACAAAATAAAAAAAAAATATATCAAACTGCTAGCCTTTATTGTGGTGAATCTCATTTGCCACAGAAGATTTCAACTACGTCTGCGCGTTTCCCTTATATAGGTTATAAAAACCCGGACAGTAAGACATCTACAAAAAACGGAGACTTCACATACGAACACACGGCTGACTGCTCGTCCGACCATTAGGCTTTGTAAACGACCTTCAGTAAACACAGTAAATGAATATGCCCTGTGATGTCAAATTCTCCAAGCCCTCTTCCTCATACGCTCAAAGAATTTCAGCTCTCACTATACTAATACTATACTTTAAATTTTATCCTGATTTTGCTATCATATAATATAAATCTTAAATTGATAGAGACCATCCTAAAATCATTTTGATTCACGAGGCTTTCTCGACATGTTTTTTAATTTCTCTTTCATTTTTCCCATCAAACTTTGAATTACAATACTATTTCAGAATGTAATGTAAAAGATGTTTAAGTGCGCGCATGCGCGGTGTGTTTATATGGATATGCAAATGACAATTTATTAATCCAACATATTTTTATTACATTAAATATTATTTTTAGTGGATATCCGTCTTTGAGAAGACGCTCCGTTTATTTTTTTTTAAACTGTATTTTATTTCGTCTGCCGACTTCAACATTCGAGAAATCTTATAAAGAAAAATGCGCCCCCGGCATCATCCGAACCTACCTCCTCCTTTGCAGGAAAAATTGTCGTCAACTCCTACATGCTTTAATCAACTCAGCTACAACAAATACGTCGGATTTATAAATGAAAAAAAAATGCATTATTTCTTTTGAATTTTTTGTTTATGTTTCAGATACAAAACTGAGCAGTTATGAACTTTCGAAAATCTGAACGGGTAAAATGTGCTTAACGGCAAACTAAATAAAATCTTGATCACGGCGCTGTTCGTTGCATAGCTAAAGTTAAAGCCCGTCAGATCTAACGACATTCTGATCCTGCCAGAGGGCGCATGTTTTTTTTTTTTTTTAAATAATCGAATGTTCAGGCCGGTAGACAAAATAAGATAAATGGATTGTCTACTCAAATATGTGTATCCAGTAAAAATAACGATTAAAGTAATATATATATATATATATGTGTGTGTGTGTGTAGATGATGAGACAAAGTGGAAAAGCTTTTAGACGATGCGCTTTACCGATGAGACGTGTGTTGGGTTGGCTTCTACAGATCGATTGGAATGAAAGACAAAACTTTGTGTTAAAAATGGAAAAAACTGTTGATTATATGTGTGTGTGTGTGTGTGTGTGTGTGTGTGTGTGTGTGTGTGTGTGTGTGTGTGTAACAAACACTTTCTGGTCTCCGGCCGTCGGATCTGATATGATAATTTAATTTATTGCCCCTCGTATCCTAAAAAGTCCCAACGCATTTTCGTTATTCTCAGTTTTGTCTTTCATTCTGAATTGAAGAAGCTGGCGAAACGCGTCACTTAAATGCGTTTCTAATTTGTTTCATCATCTCCACATATGTTTCAGATACTACTTTACAACCAGTAAACACGCATATAAAAGAGAGAGAGTGAGTGAGTGAGCGTGAATCAATGAGTCTATAGTTATTAGACAGGTGGGCTCTGTAGATATTGAACAATAATATTGTGACTATCCAGTCCTGTCGCAGACCCCTGCTTGAGCAGTGGTCTGCAACAGGGACTGACTAGTCGCCATATCAGTCGAGTGTACTCAAGAAAATGAGTAACCAGCTACTAATATATATATATATATATATATATATATATAAAATGTGTGTGTCTGTGTATGCCACATTTCTCGACCGATTTCGATGAAATTGTGCACAAATGATGCAAATTTACCAAGGTAGGTCAAGACCAACGTTTCAATCTCCAGTACCCCCACCCCCGGTTTGGCAAAAAATGATAAAACTGAAGGTAGATACAATTTTTTTTTTTTTTTTTTTTGGCAAAAACTGAGGCAAAGTTACACGTGAACAAAATTTTTACTGGATAAGCTGATGTTCATTGCACTTCATGCAAACCATAGCTCATGTTACGAGGTTTATGTAGAGTACTCCTGCAACATTGCTTCACACAAAAAATTGAAAAAACTGAAAAAATCGGGGTTTTCGTGCTACTTAAAATAAATACTTGAATAACTTCCTCATTTTTATCCAATTTTCTTCACACGTCTCAAAAAATTTGCCATTATGCAAGAAATAAAATAGTGTGGTTTTAGTCCTGCTCGCTTCCCCGCGTATAACAAAAAAACACGAAAAACTGTTCAAAAAGCTTGTTTTTTGGCCATCCTTAATTGGCATTTGAACAACCTTTGATGCAAAGATTGTTTGAAAAGGATTTTTAAAACGTTAAAAAGGAAAAATCCCGAAAACCTCTTATTAACCCCAGCTTTAAACGTGCGAAAAGGGGGGGCGTTCATGCGCTTGCAGTTGAACAAGCTCTCTTTTTGTTTCATTAATTAGATTTGTGAACAATGCCATAATATTAGAAACTCATTACGCCCATGGGAAATTTACTGAATATCTAAAACATTGAAACAGTTTAACCCTGAGCTATAACCACACAAGGTTTTATCGATGGAATTCCTTTAAGAACAATGAAACACTTACAAAGGACATACCGTAAAAAAATGAGGAGGGAGTACATTAGTATACCAACGGTAGATGCATACAAGAGGGGACGTAGGAGGACATTTCTAAACAATGGGGTGATGTCATACAATTGCAGCCATATACACCCGGGCAACGTCAGCTTTTCAAATGAGTCTTCATTTGCTAAGATCCCGGAGACACCCCAGCCAATATTTTTGGTTTGAATCTTGGTTTTTGTTTGAATCGCCTGCAGCCACTATCAAATATGATTAGCAATGGGACAGAGTAGTGGACATTGTGTTCTTGTCTTACCCTATGTTATCAGCGCTAATGCTCAGAAAATATATTTAGATTAATTTCTAATATTATATTCGTTTTGTCGATTTCACGCAGTAAGCCCTCTCATAGTGCTCTCATGAAATTGTACTGATGAAAAGTAGCTTTATTTTCGCTTGTAAAGGGATCTCTTTTTCAGCTATTTGTTTAGCTGATTTCACACAAATGTATACTTGGGAATTATGCTTACTATTTTTGCTTTCAAAATCCAGTAAAAACGAGAAAACAAAAAGAATGCTGCTAATGCTATTTAAATATTTAAGAACTGTTTATATTCAAAATAATCCCCACCATAAAAAATCACTTGAACTCTTTATATTTCCAGTTGTCCTATTTTCCTGTTAGGATATAGGAATGTTTATTCGTATTAAGAGCATTTCCAATTCATTGCTGAAAAGTATTAAATGGAGGTAAAATACTCTTAAGCTGCTACCGTGTTATCTGACTGTGGAACGAGAACTGCTTGTGCTGTCATCAAACTATCATTCGAGCACATAACCGTGTCATGCGAAATAAATAGCAAAAACGCATTTTAACATTGTTTCTGACAACGTTCTCAATTTTTTCTCCCCGCGTATGTGATGATCCATAATATCTTTTTTTATGTTCATACAATGAATATTGTAAAAAAACAAATTTTCAGGAACATTTTGATAAATATATCCATTCGAAATGTTATACTCCGTCGCAATTAGATCTCATTCTGATTCATTCTGCACGCTGACTGGATGTAACCGCCACGAAGATAGAAGACGAAATAAAAAAAGTCGTTTTCTGCGCATTAGGCTCAACGCACCATATCTGGCCTACAAAGTGAACTCCGGCGGTGGCCAGTCATAAACGTTGCTGCCGGTAAAAGAGACACCTCTTGGGACTATAAGACCTGCTTAAGAGCAGGCTCTGAGGAAGACCAATGGGTACTTTCTTTTGATTTTGTGTTTCCTGCCGATGAACATACCCATTGTCCTGTCATTTCTTTTATTATTTTATGCATACCTACCGTATCTATGCTGTCCATTCTTTGTATCTCAAGACACTTTGAGACATTCTTCCATTTGTTTCTAATGCTTGTGCTTACAGGACATATCCCACCAAAAGTAACAGTATGTTATTACTAGTTTTTCTCCATTTTATTACTGCTAGTTTTTAACACTCCGAGTTGGCACACTCTTTCCCCACAAGGACAAGCAATGAAAATCGGATATAGCTTCATACAAAACTTGAACTTACATCCCACAGCTCAAATCTGTACTTATCCAGCCACACCTTCCTTTCAGATTTTATTTATTTTTATATAAAGTATTTTTATATTATTATTTCACTAGTTTACCTGTACAGTCAAAAATGATGTGGTGATATTTAAGTAATTTTGCAATTGCATAAAATGAAATATCAAAAACTTTGTTGTTTCTTTCTGAATTAAACTAAGCAAAATTTTAGTCTAACCATTGAGTAATTATGGAATGTTCAAAACAACATAAAACTATTTTTCTACAATATCACCAGAAGAGTCTATTACATAAAGATGGGTAACTACATTAATAGAAGAGTTCACTACATAGGTATAAGCAATTATATAAGCATCTATACCAGAATTGCTGGTGGTTGCTATTGATAGACCATTGTGGAGGGGATTCAGTGTGGCTTCTGTATTTGGATCCCCATTATGATTAAAAAAAGTCAAAGGAATGATGATGATGATGATGTCATGGACTTTTCTGATGGAATAAAAAGAGTTAAACAACAAAAAAAACCCATACATATGCACATGACTTACTAGTGAGTTCTTTATTTTGAAATGAAGTACATTACAAGGCTGAAGGGGAAGTGGGGAAAGGATAGTTTTCACTGACTATCCTACACCTAACTAAGCTGATTCATGACCCATTCATTCTTACAATTTGCTCAATCACCAAAATAACCCATCCTTCTTCACCCAATCCAACATTTACCAAAATATTTCATATTCACAGGGAACCTACTAAAACTCCATGATATAATTTTTTTTATAAAAATTTTAAAATATTTCATGAAATGATGGGATAGTTTTTCTTTTGTTTATATATATATGTAAAAGAAAAAAAACTATCCTCATTGAGTGCCCCATACTTACAGCCCTATGTTACATCTAAGCTATGCTTAGTAAATTTCTGTATTCATGACTGAGTAGTGAGTGTTATCCTCATTGGGTGCTCCATATTTTCGGCCTTGTGCCACGTTTAAGTTATGCTAAGTAAATTGCTATTTGGATACACATTGCATTTTATATATATGGATATTGTAGTAGAAGAAAGATGAAGAAAAAATTTATAAAAGAATTATATCTTTTCTCATAATAGAGCCAAAGTTACATTTAATCAAATAATGAGCTAAGAAATGAAGTAAAAAAAAAAAGAAAGAAATTATTATGAATACAATAAGTGAGTGAAAGAAAGAGTAAGTTGTTACTCGCTTCCTTGTTGATATACCTCCTATTTACAAAAAAAATCTGATGGAGAAGTGTCTTCTTTATTTGCTAGAGGTATCTGCTTGGTATCATTTTTAATCATGAATCAGAGAAAACAGTTGTATATAGGATTTAGTCTAGAGATTTTTAATGAGATGAACACCATTAATAACATCCGTATGAATGTCTAGATCTGATGAAGCTATTTAAGAATAGGACTTTAGTTCTCAGGTTAACATTTTGATTTTGTAACATCTTGCAGTGTTGGACAAAACAGCTTCTAACACAAGCTATATATATATATATATATATATATATATATATATATATATATATATATATAATTAGGATTACACTATATATATTGTATCTTAACAATTATTTCATTTATCATTCTTATTTATCCCATTTTTGGGGAACTTGATAATTTTACACTGTTATTATTCTTATTTTGTTATCCATATGAGTTTTATTTAAAGAATGACTGAAAACTTGAAAGACCAATAAATCAAACAACCAGCTTTAATGTTTAACTCCTCTTTTTGCAGGTAAAGCACTTTGCTGGTGTCTTGCAAAAACATGGTGTCAGCAAAGGAGATCGGGTCCTTATTTATATGCCAGCCATACCACAAACTATCATTGCTATGTTGGCTTCTGCAAGAATCGGGGCAATTCATTCAGTTGTTTTTGGAGGTTTTGGTTCACGAGAGCTTTCAACAAGAATCCAACATGCCAAGGTGAGATAAAATTTTAATTTTAATTAAGGGTTATATTTTATGAACTGTATTGAAGAAATTAAAAAAAATAAGGCTAACATATAGAACTGGTCGTGGCTAATGTTTCTGATAAAAAGCAGTGGTTTTGTGCAAATAAAGTTTTCAAATTTAATAGCAAATTTGATTATTAAAAGGTAATATTCTAGGGTAAATTTATTTACCAGAAAAAGACCCATCTAAGCTTTTAGTAGCCATAAAACAACCTTAAGTTTATTGTTTGAACATCTACAAACTTCAAACCTAAATTTAATTTAAAACTACCCAAATGACAAAGCTAATCTAAAATTTATTAATATTTGAATGTGCAATGTTTCAACATCATGTCAGTCAATAAGAGAATTTGTTAATTCTATGCTATCGGATATATATATATATATATATATATATATATATATATATATATATATAATTTAAAGAAAAACAGACCACTTTAAGGCTCCATTATATATATATATATATATATAAAAATCAAAATATACTAGAATTACTAGAATTCAATATATTTTAAGCCCAGCAAAAATAAATGTTCAATGGACTTATCTCATATATTTCATTATCTACAAAACATTGAGATTTAAAGTCAAATCTAAATGCTTAACAACATTTCTTCACAAAAAGAAAATATTTGATCAAAATCAGCAATTTACCTATTGGAAGAGCATGAATCTACTTATTTCTCGATGCAATATTTTCCATTGCTAGATATCTTAACAAAATGACTTGTCCCTGGCATGCCACAAAGGTTGAAAAAGAAGAGGGTGGAAAAGTGAGTATTCATAAACATCATGCTCTCTTATGACTATATTACATGCCCAAGTAGTAGCAGCAAAGAGCTGTCACCTCCATGGCTCATCTTGACAAAAGAGTCAATACAGATTCAAATTCTTCAACATTTTAAGATCCAACAGAAAAGATAATACTTACTTTTTTGCTCCTTTTCACACTTATCTTTGCTTTCAGGTACTTGATCTGCCATATATTTAATCAAATTTGACAATTTATTCTGTCTCCCTCTGCTTCTCTTGCCTTCAATGTACCTTGTGATTGTTAAATTACCCAAGCCTTCTTTCCTTATTATATAGCAAAAAATTTCAGAGACTTGAAAAACTGAATAATCTTATAAAAAAAAACAGTGGTATTACTTCTAAAATTGATTGGATTCAACTGGTAACTTAAGTCACTCAGAGTTGGTAGAAGGAAGTGACACTCCCTGGATATCATATTCTATGTTGTCATATTGGGTAGGTGAGATCATGCATGGAAGAAATAACAGTTCAGCCAAAAGTTAAAATGGTGACAGTTGAGAAAGGCAACAAAGTATAATGAGACAGAAGTAGCAAATGTCATATATGTCTATTGATTGGGATCGTGATAATAGTTTTATTATAAGCTTTGTAGATGAAGAATTACATAAAACTTTTATGTAGTTCGTTTGAGTAAGGATAAGCTGAATTTAATATTTTTCAGTCTACAAATTATACTACAAAATAGATGTGTAATGAATTTTCTCTTTCTTTGAATTACAGCCTAAAGTGATTGTAAGTGCAAACTGTGGTATTGAACCAAAACATATTGTCCATTACAAACCCCTGTTGGATAAAGCAATTGAAATGAGCAGTCACAAGCCAAGCAAATGTATTATATACAATCGTCCAAAGGTAAGTTCATTGACTGAATTATTATAAACAGCCCCATGGAAATTCTAGTGTACTTTGCAATTTGTATAAATAAAAATAAGAATAAAATTAAGGTATATTATACCAAGAAAATATTTGAAAATCTGTTTGTATTACTAGACAGTCTTATTTCAACAAATGGTTAATCATTTAAGTACTGAGTAACTTGATCTGGCAGAAACCAATGCTGTCACTATGGTGATTTTCTAATCATAGCTTAAATGTGGCACAAGGCTGAAAGTATGAGTCACCCAGTGATGATCAAACTCACTACTCAGTTGTAATTGATCTAACAAAACAAGCTTGCTAACCATTACATCATGTCAAAGTGTCCAATAGATGCTGTCAGTATAAATCTCTTTTTATGTTTCTTTCTGGCATGAGAAGTTATTATTTACATGGGGAGTAGAACAAGGACAATCTACCTGCATATATTAAATAAAGGGTTCAGTTCAAACTTCTCTGAAGGTTACTGGGATTGACAAACACCTGATGAAGATGAGTGGGCACAACGGCTGAAACATTGTGATAACAACAACAAATATGAAAACAATATTCTATACATGTTCTTTGTTACACTTACATTTACTTTTCCTTGTAATTATCATATCTATTATTGTTGTAGCTGTCATTATACAGTTATTTTATTATATAAAAGCCAATGTCTTTTTGTGGTGGGTATCAAACAAAAACAAGTGAATATATAAAATTAAGTAAACCTCGATCTTAGAGATCAACAGGCAAGTGACATACTGCTACTGAAATATTTGGCTACAATTGTCTTTAGAATATAATTTTGATTTTATTAGTGTTTTTAATTATCACTTGTGATTATTTCCATGAATCACTTGTATTGATTTCATATTCAGCTAATATGGATGTATTAAAAAATGAAAACTGAATTTGAATTTTTATTACATTTTATTTGATGATAGCTACATGACATTTTTTTAGATAAAAGTAAGGTATTTTGACTCTACATGTTTAGTAAGGAAAATTTTTAAAAAAATAAAAATAAAGTACTTTCACAAAAAAAAAAAATTAAAAATTAAAAATTTAAAACTGAAATTTTCCTCTATTCTTTAAAAATGCCTATCCAAAAAAAAATCATCACATAAATATTCCAATATATCCATGAACTTTTCACATAACTGTTATTTTACTAATAACTAAGTAACTAAACCAGTGAAACAATATTAAAGTGTTAAGAAAGTAATTAGATATTTCACTATAAATTATCAGTCAACTAAGGTTGAATGGTAGGAAACTGCATTTATAATTAGCTTATAATTTCTTCTCTTTTAATGTGTTGCTTAGTGTATTTCAGAGTTTAACCCCATGGATAATTATAACTTTAAAAAGCAACATATCTACCATTGCTTAGTGTATAAATTCTGAAAACACAGTACAGAGGCATTGAAACACATTTGTGTGGTATATATGGATTCAGTGAAAGCTTGTACATATCAGCTATGGTGTAAAAGCTTTTAAAATTGTGATTGCATCAACCCACTCTGAATAGAGAACTGAACACAACATTTCAACATTGTCAAAAGACTTTTAACCAGGAATGACAGCCTTTCATTTTTGCATTGCATTGTTACAGGTGATGAAAAATGGGTTTTGCATTTTAACAGAAAACAAAAGACAATGGTTATCACAAAATGGGAAACTCATGCAAACAACAAACCCAGGACCCCATCCACAAAAGTTCTTGTGTTGTGTCTTGTAGAATATGAAATATGTAATTAATTACAAGCTAGTGGGACATGGAACGACCATCATTGCAAAGGTTTATTACTAGCAACTTGATAAACAAAACATAACGAGGTATGTTCAAAAAGTATCTAATCTATTGACATAAAGAAAAAAAATCAATTTTCTACATTTCATAAATTTTATTTAATCACTTTCAAAATATTTCCCTTGGGAATTCACACACTTCTCCCAGTGGTTCTACCACTGCTGGTAACACCTCTGGAATGCATTCTCTGGAATGTTATGGAGCTCTGCCATCACTTTTTCATAAATTACTAATATGACTGGTGTGGTTTTCAGATTTGTGTAGAGCTAGAAGTCACATAGTGCTTAGTTAAGAGAGTAGGAAGCCTGTTGAACAAATGGTGTGTGGTCCTTGAGCAGGAAAACTTGGACTATGTAGGTGGAATGAGTAGGTGCATTGTCATGGTAAAGTTTTTAATTCTTCTGCCCACATGTCTGGCCACTTACAATACACAGCATCATGAAGGTGACATATAACCTCCAGATGCCTTATTGATTTTTTGATTATATGCCTTATTGATTTTTTGGCCTTATGGTTCATATTCATGATGTACAATACCACAAGTATCAAAGAAACAGGTCAATATTATCCTCACATTGCTGCTAATTTGATGGGCCTTGGTGATGACAGATGCTTCCATTGAAAGGACATGTCACATTACCAGTATATGATGGTCTTCATGAAGTCTGGGTTGTGGCTTGTACAATCCAGCATGTTCTGAGTAATTTCCATGCCAAGTTGCTTCTGCTGTTCCACCTGCACCTTGTGGACAAATTTCACTGACACTTTCTGCAAATCTTCCATTAAAATGGAATGCACTGATCCTGTGCTTCCTCCCACTTTGTGAGCAATATCCTGGATTGTTACACAATGGTCTTCTATAGACTATTCACCGAACATTCTCAGTCAGCTCCTCATTTGAGTTTTGGATGGCCTGACTGGATAAAATCAGGTACTATTTGAATACACCTCATATGTTGAAAATGGTGTTATTCTCCAGAAAAAAAAAATTAGGTTGTTAGAATAAGAGATTTTTTTCAAGACTCAATAGATTTTTTTCATACTCAATAGATTTAACATCTACAGATTTTCATTTTTTGTTCCTATCACATTTTGTATGTGTCATAACATTCAGAAACAAAGAAAAAAAGTCTTTCAAACATTTGGGGGAAAAAACACATTTCTTTACATGTAGAATGAAAACTTTGCCTTCCCATTGGACTATAGTCATTGAAAATAAAACTGTTGCCTTTTTGATAAATAATATTTAAATACATTTAACTTACATTTAATTTTATATTTTCTGGTAAAACATAATGACATTCCAAAACACCCTAATAACAAACTTATCACAGACCACTAACAAAATGAATAACTTCATCTTAATAGACCACAAATCAAAATTAGCTCTCTCCATTTTGAAATGACTTCAGTTGTAAAGCAAAAGTAAGAAATAGAATCAAACACTGTTAGTGATGACAGTGCAAAGGAAAGTGGGGACCCTTTGTGGGGAGACATTATTGAATCTAAAATTCTTTGAAAAAGGATATGGAAGGTATTAATTAGTTACACTCTTTTCAAGTTCTATTACTAAACATCAGTTCCAGACTTTTTAAGATTCAGTTGTTTGCTATTTTGATAATAATCTTCTGAACTATCTAGAAATCAGATATTACTATTATATTTGTGATTTATGATATAGCCATATGGAATAATCAATATTTCCAAAGTTTGTCAGTGTCACTGCTTGGCACTTACTTTTCTTTTTAATTGATAGGATGGATATTTTTTGAGTGTGTTTATTACTGTTTTCCATGTTTTGCAGATGGTAATACCTTTGTAATGAAATATTGCATTAATTTTTACTAACAATGTTTCTATTCAAGTATAATAGCAATAGTAACACAGTCTTTCTATTCCACCATGGTCACCCTCCCTATCTGTATCACTTAAACAATAGAGTATATCTTATAACCCTAGGATAATTGCAGAAGTAGATTTGAACAGAGATTATATAATGGATATGCAGGTAACATAAAAGTTATCATTGCAGAAAGTGAAATTGGCAAGTCAGGTTCAAATTCTGAATGAGTCTGTGTTCTTCACCTCCCACTACTTTTTTTGGGAAAGGCTTGAATTCATTTTCCTCCAACTAGGAGTTACATAGCAGAGCAGGCTTTGGCTGTCATACTGTGAGTCCAGTCCAGACAGACAACTATTAAAAACCATCCTGAAGAGAGATGGGCTCTGTTAGGAAATCTTACCCAAGACACATCCACAGCTGTTATGAGTGCAATACATGTGTTGCATTTATGTCCCTCATAATCATGTCGTTTGTTTTAACTTCTTTTTTCCTCCTTTTATAATGATTCTTAATTATATATATTTTATTTGCAGACAGATCCTGCGACAATGATCAAAGATCAAGATGTATGTTACCTTGATGAAATGGCTTCTGCCAAACCTGTTGACTGTGTTCCCATACTAGCAACTGACCCTTTGTACATCCTTTATACTTCAGGAACCACAGGAATCCCAAAAGTAATTTTCTCTATACCCTTGTTTCGTTTTGTTTTTAATACTTACCTCAGGGAAATATTCTTCAATTGTATAAGAGATGCACTGCATTTGAAAACAATTTTTCCACTAGAGTGAATGCTGAACAATCTCAGTGAATGAAGAAAAGGTAACTAAAATATGGTTCTATAGAAAGATGCTGACAATATAATAGACTGAATATGTGAGCAACAAAAATGTTTTAAAGAAAATTGAAACAAAATAGACACTTCTACTTAGAATCAGGAAAAGAGTTGAAATTTCTAAGTCAGATAGTGAGGGAAGAGGACTTGGAGAATTTGACACTCACAAGACATATTGAAGGCTAGAGGCACAGAGGAAAGCAGCAAATAATATACCTAATGATGTAGTGTAAATGGTTGACAAAACAGAGATTAGGAGAGATAGCAAAAGGACAAAATTTACAAATAGCTAACTACAAAGGATGAAAAATTGTGAAGAACTATGATCGCCATTTCCTGACAAGACATAGAACATAGAAGAAAATCAACAAAAATCTCAAAACTATCTGAAACCTGATTTCTTTGACACGTCATATATCATATGCCTTTTGCCTTTAATGACTTTTGCAGTATATGAGTTATCTCCCTTTCACTAATGACAAAATCTTGCAGTGACAGTGTTAGATGGTAGTGTACTTATGATGATAATGGTGGATTGTTCTAATATATTTATGAAACTAGAAAATAAAAGTCTAACTGCATGAAAAGAAATAATAATACAAAATATATATATATATATATATATATAAATTTTTAAAAATCTATATATAATGCTGAAATATTTTATAGCAAGGTAAACTAGATCTCTAATAAGAGCCTCTTTTTTGTGCCTAATGTACCAGCTATAGATGTTTTGGTCTTTAGATTTTAAATCTATCTAAACCAGTTTCATCTTTTTGTCTCACTGGCACTACCTCTATTCTGGCTGTGTAAACATATGTGACCCTCACACATTTTATGATCACTCCATGTTGCATTCCAACCCACGATTTTATCTGTGTTCACCAAAAGCTGAGAAAGAGCATACTGCATGCTCAGAAGTTAGAACAATGAAAGAAATGCCATGTCAAGAAATAATAATGTAAACTTTGTTTCCCATATTATATTTTATTCAGAGCTCCGCCTGCTTGCCCAAGTGGGTAGGTAGGTGATATTTGGGATGACTTCCATTATGTCAGCTCTTCCTCCTACCAACTCTTCACCCTTTTCCCATCTACTCATCCCAATCTGGTGGATGATAATACGAAATGGAAGATTTGGAACTGCTCAACAATATACATCCATCTCCTACCAAGGGCAGGCCAGAACTTTCCCTGATCCCAAGCAAGATTGTTAATATAGACCAGCACCTGGATATAACCCATTTCTGGTTTTATTGTCACTTGATTCTTGAAAATCCTTTTACTTCCCCATTCCCTTTCAGTTAAAGTGGATGCCACTTAGAAAACTGAACTTCAAAAGGAACCATCTGCTGGTTTATCAAACAGAAACACTTGAGATCCAGAAAAAGCTATCTCTTCTCTTCCTGTATGGATGTCCATAGTATCACACCTGCACTGTAACAAATATTTCTGGTATTTATTAGGGGGGAAGAAAATGAATGATTTTGTAATCTTCCATTTAAAATTTGTTTTAGGAAATTTCAACACTGTCTGCAGACTGTGTTGTGCAAATTAACCTTTTTGACATATTTGTTATCAAATAAATTTTAATTCCCTCTACCACATTGAGACTCAGTTGTGTAGTTATTCTGTGAGAAAGTCCCAACTTACATTATTGTATTTCCCACACCTTAAGATAGTAGTAGGAAAATTTGGGATGAAAATCAAAAGAGAAAAAGAAAGTGAAAAATGTGCAAGCCCAGATAACAAAAGAAATGTTCATTTGTGATTTGAATATAAACTGTTCATAGAGGAAGAATATTTAAAAGTTAAAGTCTCTTTCAGGACAATGCAATGTGACAAGTCCATGGAAGTTGTTTAGGTTTTAGTTTCTTTAACAAACTATCCTAAATATGGAGTTCTTGACATGACATCATCTACTGCTGCCTATTGATCAAAATGAAGACTCCTGTGAAAGTAAGAAAAGAGAGCAATTAAGGGTCGCTACACATTTTTATATGCTCTTGTGTGTCTCCTTGGTCAGGAGGTAGTCCTAATATAGCATCTACTTTTATCAATGGAAATATACATGACATACAGGTTTTTAACTTTTGCTAGGCTCCACAGTTGTAAGTTGAATACCAGGAAGAAAAGAAATGTCAGACATTAATTGAAGTGTTACTGACAGAATAGAGCTATTAGGTTGTTTGGAAAATAAGGTCTGATTTTAATCCTTTTAATTGTGTTATATTATTGTAATAGTTGAACAAAAATATATTACTCATTTCTAATGAATTAAAGTGTACTCTTTGTTAATATTATATTGATCTCTTTCAGAATTTAATTAAAAACATTACATACTGCTCATCTTCAACATGAAAAAAGAAGAGATACATTTACTTTTTTGAATGAGTTCCAGCTTGGTCATAATACTTCTCAAATGGCTGCTAACATTAATAGAGAATGGGGTGAAGGATCCACTTGTGATCAGAAAGTACAGCACTGATTTCTGAAATTCCACAGTAGGGATACAAGTCTTGAATATCAAGGTGGCAGCTACAGCTGACAATCAATATCTGAAAACACTAGTCAAACAAAATGCACATCAAAGTTTTCAGAGAAAAATTTCAGATAATGGATGTCAGCATTTCAACAATATCAGAGCATCTTAAGGAAATTGTCAAGATTTGATAAATGGGTTCCACATGAACTTAGTGAAAGTCAAAGAGTTCAACATTTTGAAGTGTGTTGATGTTGCATCTGTGAAATTTGAATTATCTATTTCTTTATCAAATAGTGACTTGTGATGATAAATGGATCCTTTATGGCAATCATTAATGATCGGCACCTAAACACTTTCCAAAAATGGAATTACACAAACAGAAGATTATGGTGACTGTCTGTTATTCATTAAAGCTTCCTGGAATCTAACCAGAGCATCACTGCTGAAGTTTACTGCCAGCAACTGGGTGAAATGCACATTCAATTAAGTAATCAGTCAATAAACAAGGTTCAATTCTGCTTCATAACAATGCTCAGCCACATGTTGCCAGGATGACATTTAAATTTTATAGCAGGAATGTGTAGATGTTCTGTGTTTCTATTTTGACTGTCTTAAAAGCTGTTTAAATACATGAATTCATGAATAAAAGTTGATCCTAAAACTGGGCAATATTTTCCAAATAATGTATTGCTAATGGTTTTACAAAAATATATTAAAATAATTTTACTATAGAAATGTATTGTAAATAATTTTTATTATAGAAATTATTGAAAATTCACGAGTCAGGCAACTGTTATGAATAGAAGCATCTTAATAAAAACAAACATAGATTTCAGCCAAGATTTTTCATTTTAGTTAAGATTGATCTTTCTATAAATACCTTGAACATTTACTCAACTATAATTATTTTGATTTACTCATATATAATTATATATATTTTGATTAAAACATTCAACATTAAAATAAACCTAATTTTTCCCCCATGTTGCATATTAAAAAACAATTCTAAAGGTGATTTGAAATTTCAGGCTGTTGTACGCCCCAGTGGTGGTCATGCTGTTGCTCTCAAGTGGGCCATCCAAAATGTGTATGGTATCAAGCCAAGTGAGGTAAGTCATTTTCAGAGAATTAATATTAAAATTAGTGGTAGCATTTTTACTGATCTTGTTTTATTTATTCTTTTCCATTTTTTTTTCAACTGTCATACCAGGTAAGGTATTAAATCCCCAGTGGAGAGTGACAAAAGGCTTTTCATTAGAAATACCTAAAATAGACACCAATTGCATTATAGAAGATGAATTGGCATTAATTAAAGTTTTTGTATATAAGGATTACATTAAAAGAATTAATTATGAAAAGCATTTAATTACAATAAATTGAATTAACACCAGGAATTATCTGAGATTGAACTCTGTTTCAACTAGATTGAGCTATTATGATCAGGTAAAACAAGGAGCATTTACCCATCACCCCAACTAGAAAAATTCAACTAAACTAGATGGCTTTTCTAAGAAATTTGGCCAAAATTCAGTAAAGGATTTTTTTTTTTGAATACTACTCCTCATTTCTGTCTTGTCTATATAGTTAAATCTCCTTGATAACAGCCATTGATAGACCATTGTGGAGGAGATTTAGTGTGGCTTCTGCATTTGGATCCCCCTATAATTACAAAAGTCAAGGGGATGATGATGATATAGTTAAAAATTCATCTGATCACATTGGTATGTGACTGGAAGAACAAAACCACTTCCTTTGATCTTGTTATGATGGACATATGCAAATCAATTTGTAATCTTACACCTGAAAGAAACATGTTCCCATAAATACAGGAGATAGAGACAGAGAAAAATTAATTTATCACCTGTTTTTAGTTGATTTTCCATTTGTTTATACACACATCTATAGATCCACTTTGAAAAGGCCAAGTGTTTCTTAGTTACTTGCAGACTTATATCCTTGTTGCAAAAGCTTTCTGATTGGTTAGTCCAACTAGCTATTTTTAGAAATGGGGAGATTTTGGTCTCCTTGTTAATTATACATTTTTTTTCTTACATCCTAGTTGTGAATGCTTTCTGATTTTGGTTGGTCAAATTATGGTTTTGTTTTTCTGGTGATTTTTATTATCTATTTTTAGAGATGGTAAAATTTTGATGTTATTTATTTCTCTATCACCACAAGTACTGTATCCGAAACATTCGCCATAAATATTTTTGCCATAGAAAAACTTGCCTCAGGAATTTTCACCATAGGAAACTTTGCTACATTTTGTTTTTTGTGTATATTTCTATATTTAAGTATTTATAGTGAATTTAAAACAGTTTATGTCTGCAAATAATTTGTATAAATTTCAAAAGACTTACTGAGAGCTTGAAAGGGTTATCTTTCTTTGATCAGATATTTCATATTGAAATTGGTTGGGTATTCAAGTTGTAAGTTTGTTTGAAATAATATATATTGCTTGAGTGAGAACCATTGGCAGACTGATATTATGTTAACAGAAAGTTTAATGTTAAGTGCGAAATATAAAATTGCATGACGTAGGTTCTGGTGTCAAGTTAAAATTTTTGTGCTCATCACTGACGAGTATGAATGATGTAGGATTTTGATCCTATAACTTCACTTATTAAAATGTTTAAATCGAAGTAGCAATAGTGTGAGCCAGATAGACTTGATAACAAGGTACTTCGCATATTAAAAAAATTAGGCGGCGAAATTGTCTTACAGCAAAAATCCTATACGGCAAAGTTTTCTACAGTAAAAATTCCTGAGGCAATTATCCTACAGCAAAATGTTTATGGCGAATGTTCCTAGAACTCACAAGTACAAACCATTTCACTTCATGTGTCTAGTGAGAACTCAGTTATATTCTAGCCAATGATGTTATTATAATAGTTGATTGATAAGGAGCCCTCCTGTAAAAAGCAAAGTGCTCATGTAGAAAACAGATAAGAGATAAGCTAAATGGACAGTCCAGGCTATTAAGACCCATTTAAAAAAAGTATTTTATCAGTCCAGATTGTAAAGGGGAAGGTGTTTAACAATAAAGATAGAATATACACATGAGCTTGTGTGTCTTGGTTATAAGCAGACAAACCCTGGTAAAGATGAAGAAGAAAAATAGCTGGATAATTTCATAATGTGAGGGGAGATAATTTGACTGAGAACACCTGCTCGGATCAATAATCATAATATGGGTGAGTAGACCTTTGGCCAAATTCCTCGTCAAACTGCCTGCTAATTTACATAACTTTTGGCAGCATAATAATTTTTTTCAAAAATGAAAGGAAGTTAAACTTAAAATTCAAATTTTTATTTTCTTAAATGATACTGTAGTGAGTCCCAATAAAATATAAAAATAAAATATATAAACAAAAATAAAAATAATTAAAATTAAAATAAAGCATTGGGTCTTTCCTTTAAAACCTTTATCTCTTTCTTTCTCTTTCTCTAAACTTCTCTTTCTATATTTCTCTCAATTAATGAGACAGCAACTCTCAAATAAAAAGAAGAGACTGAACCCAGCCAAAAAATGCCAGAAGTTTGCAGGATCAGAGCCTACTTATTTGTGACTGAAACATACCAAAAATCAGTGAGGATCCATGCATAACTTCCATTATAAAAAAATAAAAAAAGAAAGGAATGCCAGAAAATAAAATAAATTTGGCCAATCAAAAATATTAACACAAAGCAACTTGATATTTGCTGTAACCCACCAGAATTTCGGAGCCTGGTCAAAAAGATCTAAAATGACAACTCTGAGCTAGATGAAAGAAAATAACAGGAGAGGACTGAACATAAGAACATACCCAAAGAGAAGTAGCTAATGATATTTCTGCCCTACTTAGGGCTGAGAAAAACATAGCAGATAGACACTGACCTATTTTTAATGTTATTACTACCCCTAGCATGGTCTGACTTCAAAACACCACTACCAGACATTTCTCCAGACTGCTACTAATATCCACCTTATAAACGAACATTTTGCTACACCAAATACCATAGGACTCACACTAAAGAAATAAAATGAAAATATATTATTTATCTTAAACCCTTGAGATCTAGTTCTTTAATATGTTTCCAATAAATCATCACCAAGAATAGCTGCAACATTATAACCACATTGGTGACCTGCCAACATGAACACTTATGTGCAATACAAATTATGAGTGTTTATGAATAATGTCTCACTTAAATAAAATCTGTTTTAAGACTAGATAGAATAATGTAACTGGTCCCCAATCCTATTAAACCAGTTTTAGTTCAAATAAAATAAAGAAATTGTATCAAAATGAATTAAATTTATAAAACCAGTTTTAGACCAGATAGAATAATGAAACTGGTATCAAAATGAAATAGGTCTTCAAAATTACAAGTCAATCTTTCAATTGTATTGGGTGAACATTTTGTGTTAAAAAAAAAATATTATTTATATTTTTTTAAAATTTTGATATCCCCATGACAGCACAAGTTATTAATGGTGAGGACAATATTCAACTAAATTCAAAGAATTAAGAATACAAAATGTTATTAGTGACCAAATACAGTTTGTGGCAAGTATGTTAATCTAAACTTATCACTAGTTAGATACTGGGCTTTATCTATGTCAATCATTAATGGATGCATGTATAGCAATATAATTTGACAATAATTTTTCTTTTACAAAATCCTTCTGAACAAATTAACTTTTATTTTCCCCTCTACTGATAGGTGTGGTGGGCAGCTTCTGATCTTGGATGGGTTGTTGGACATTCATTCATTGCATATGGTCCTTTGCTTAATGGTAACACTTCCATTCTCTTTGAGGTAAGAATTTATTTGGCTTTGAGCATTTTTCATGGGTTTTTGAAAAGTTAAGATATTTCTCATTTCTGTATAAACTTGAGATTCATTACCAGATTTTCATTCTTTTTTGTTACTTAGATTTATTAATTTTAATAACAAAAAAAAAAAATATTGAAGTTTCTTTTTACAAGTACCAACACTGAAAAAAATTACTAAAGTTTCTTTTTTTTATGACCCCCAAGATTGAAAACTTAAATTGAAGTATTTACCTTTTTAAAAATCTTTTTTTTCATATGAATAATAATATCTTTGAGTAAATTTTCATTTTAAAAATTCATTGGTATTTCTTTTATACATGAGGTAAATTTGATTATGCTACATATCTATATACTACTTGGGAAGTCTACTAGTCAGAGTTAACAAGTTAATATTAGGATAGTGTGTCACAGTCATAATTCTGTATGACAAAATAAGCTAATATTATATAAACTTTTTAAAAGTATCACATTCTGTTGTTATTATTGAAACAGAATCTTGTTCAATCAACAGAGTGACAACACTTCACCAAACAAAAAAAAATGTTCCCTGAGGATAAATTTAAAAAAAAAAAAAAAAACAAAAAAAAAACAAAAAAAACAACACATTAAATACTGCCTAATGGTTAAATCCACTTTGGCAGGAAGGGAAATAAGCTACTGCCACTGCTTAAAACATTCACTTAGCTGAAAAGTAGGAGTCTTAATTTGTTAGCCAAAGGTGGTGAGTTCAATCCTAGGTAAGAGTCAGTATAGTTAAAAGTTATATTAAGACTTTTCTATCTCCTTGAACAACTGCTTTGATTAATTTTAGGGAAAACCAGTTGGGACACCTGATGCCGGTTCTTATTTTAGAGTTATCAAGCAACATGATGTAAATGCCATGTTTTTGGCTCCAACAGCTCTCCGTGCTATTATAAGAGAGGTAAGAATCAATGTTTTTACTTACTATTACTAGCAAGTTTTATCTTCACTAGGTACAAAACTTAGTAAATACCCAGATTATAAATT